TTTTTTTTAAAATAGGAAGGAAAAATTGGCCCTTGGGGGTTGGTCCTTTTGGAAACATTTTTCTTTCTTTGGGGGGGGGGGGGTTTATGGCCTTACCCCCAGCAAAAAATTTGCCCCCCCCCCCCCCTTTGGTTTGGGGGGGGGACCCCCCCCCCCCCCCCCCCCCGACAGATTGGACATCGACCCTTCGAGCATCACGTGGAAGAGGGTGATAGACACCTGCGACCGGATGCTTCGAAACATAACGGTGGGCCAGGGTCCCAAGGAGGGTGAGTCGCGCGGCGCCGTCCGCGAGACAGGGTTCGACATCACGGTGGCCAGCGAGATCATGGCGGTCCTCGCCCTGGCGACCTCGCTGCAGGACCTGAGGGACCGCTTGGGAAGGATGGTGCGTGCCTGCGGCGGGCGTAGAGGCAGGCAGTGCGTGAATAAACGCAGCGGGTGAAGGGACCGCCTACGCAGGATTTTAAGAGTATCAAGAAAAGGAATAGCGAGGGGGCACGCAGACCCTATCCCTAACCCTAACCCTAACCCTAACCCCAACGCACGGATTGAATACTTTATCCCATACGTTTGCTTAATCAAGTTTGCCTCGTAGACTACGGGGGTGAAAGGTGTTTGCAGCGGAAAAACTTCGACAAGACAAATATATGCATAGTTCCAAGTTTTTTTTTTTTTGGTTGTCGGTCCGGATTAGCCGACGTTTTGAAAACACACTCAGACGTGATCTTTTTTTTGTTGTCGTTTTCGTCTGTCTTGAAAAGCCCTGACAACAAAGCACACAACGCACCCCAAGTATCTTTGCTGGTGGTGGCAGTCTTGTCGCCGTGCATTGTTCAGAAAGAAAAAGGCTGATGCATTTATTTTTGACAGGCTCTAACAACAGATCATCGCTGAACCACCCAAATACTTCTTGTGTGTGCCGGCCGTTGTGCGTTGTCAGATTGACAAGGCTGATTCAATTGTGTGTCATTGGTTGTTGTCGTTCGGCCAAGGTGATTGGCAGGAGCAGACGAGGCGAGGCAGTGACGACGGACGATCTTGGGGTGTCGGGGGCCCTGTGCGTGCTGATGAAGGTATGGTAAGGGTGTGTGTGCCCAGGCGTCTGTGCGAGTTGTTGTTGTTGTTGTTGTTGTTATTGTTGTTGTTGTTGTTGTTGCTGTTGTTGCTGTTGTTGCTGTTGTTGCTGTTACTCTGCTGCCGATGTAATGTCGGCGGTGTTTCCCCCTTTGTAGCCCATGGCTCATGCTGTGAAGTGTGCGCAATTACCAGAACGACGGCACGAGATTTCCTCAAGCACTAGCGTGAACCGTGTCGAGAACACTCTTCTTCTGCTTGCCCGTGTGTGTGAATGTGTGTGTCGGCGTGAGTTTGTCTGTCCCCATGCCTCTCTGTCTACCTTTCTGTCTGTTTGCCGGCCTGCTTGGCCTACCTGTCTTGTCCGCCTGTCTGTCTGTGAGTTCTTCGGCCGCCACGGGACCCGTTCTGAGCAGAATCCGTCCATTCGTCCATTCGGTGTGCATGTGCATGCGGCACGCCATCCCCTCCGTCTTCGTCAGGACGCAATAAAGCCCACCCTGATGCAGACGGCGGAGCAGACTCCGGTGCTCGTGCACGCAGGGCCGTTTGCCAACATCGCCCACGGGAACTCTTCCATCGTGGCGGACAGGGTAGCCCTCAAGCTCGTAGGAGAGGTTCGTGTGTTTGTTGCTTGTTTCGTTGTTCGTTGTTCGTTGTTGTTGTTGTTGTTGTTGTTGTTGTTGTTGTTCTTGTTGTTCTTGTCTTTCTTGTTCTCAATCTTCTTGTTCTTCTGCCCCGCCCCCCTCCTGAGGCACATAGGAAACCACGAGTCCCCCGAAACCTCGTAGCCCTCAGGTCGTCGGGGGTGTGTGCGTGTGTTTGTTGCTTAGTGTTGTTGTTGTTATTGTTGTTGTTGTTGTTGTTGTGCCCCCGCCCCTCCCAGAGCCCCTATGAATGCACGGGACTCCCGAAATCTCATAGCCCTCAAGCTCGTCGGAGAGGGGTGCGTGTATGTGTTGCTTGACTGTTGTTGGTGTCATGGACGTTGATGGAAAATTATAATTTTCTAAGGAAGAGCAAAACCTTAGACATGGAAGATGTGCGCAGGGTTCAAGTGTAGTGCAAACCAACCTCAAACGTTTGGCTGATTGGGCGGGGGCTAATGAATGAAATGACGCCATATTATTGCCGAAATCTTCAGGAGCGTTTCTGGTAAAATACCGTGGCCCGTGTTGCTAACCCTGCCAACATTCGATGCGATAACCAATCAAGGAACGCGTGCGACAGCGATGCACTGTGTTCAACTGAAAGACCCGTATGGTGGAAAGTGTGCTTGGGACTCGCCCGCGAAGTTATTCTCCCTGAGATGTTCTCGAGGACAGCAACAGCAGTGCCCCCTGTTTCCGTTTTTCCTCCCGACGTCTCCGCTTGGTCTTCTTTCGTTGCACGGGTGTACTGGTAGGATGGGTTTGTTGTGACGGAGGCGGGATTCGGGGCTGACATCGGCATGGAGAAGTTTTTCAATATCAAGGTGAGCAAGCGAGTGATAGAAAGATTGGGAGAGGGAGCGAGGGAGGGAGGGAGAGGGAGAGAGAGAGAGAGAGAGAGAGAGAGAGAGAGAGAGAGAGAGAGAGAGAGAGAGAGAGAGAGAGAGAGAGAGAGAGAGAAAGAGAGAGAGAGAGAGAGAGAGAGAGAGAGAGAGAGAGAGAGAGAGAGAGAGAGGGAGCCATGGATAGATGCATACATCCTGTTTGTTTTTTTTCCCTCTTTTCCAGGGGTCGGCTTCCTTACGCAACACCTATCATCAATCTCAACCTTGCGCACCTACCCCCCCCCGCCCCGCCCCCGATAAGACCTCACCCACCGACACCCCCCCCGTCCGCCAACAACGTCGTCTTCCTCCTTGCTCTGCATTGTACTTGTGTTCTGCCCTCTCCCGTCGTCACCTGTTGCCCGTGCCCCGTCGCCCCTCCTGTTACCCTACCCTTCGTGATTTCCGTCTGGAACGTTAAATAAGCACAATAATCTATTCCTCTCCCACCTACCCCCTTTGTGAAACACGATGCCCAGGCAAACAGTAGAACCATGCACATACATCGTCTCTCCTTCACCTCTTTTGTTTTTGTTCGTTTCCGCCGATAAGTTTCCCCCCATTCCTCACTTGGTGGCGCTCCCTCCTTTGATTCCTCTTGGTCCTTGCCTTCATTCTCATCGTTGTCCTTGCTCACGCTACCTGTTTCTTTCGGCCCGTTCTTTCGCCCCCCCTGGTCCTTGCCTTCATTCTCGTCGCTGTCCTTCTCGCGCTGCCTGTTTCACTCTGGCTGTTTATTCATGTCTTCCCTCTTGTTCTTCTTGTTCTCCTTGTCCTTGTTCTTGCTCTCTGGTGTTCCCTTGTTTGTTTGTTTATTTGTTTGTTTGTTTGTTTCTTTCTTTCCTTCCTTTCTACCTTCTTTAATTCCTTCCGTCTCTCTTACTATCCTGTTCGTCTCCCACAAACCCAACAATACGGAACACAAACCAGTGCCGGGCCTCGGGAAACACGCCGCAGTGCGCAGTGCTCGTTGCGACGGTTCGCGCCCTCAAGATGCACGGCGGGGGCCCGCCTGTCAAGGCTGGTACCCCTTTGGCCAGCGTGTACAAGGTGCGTGCCCCCCCCTCACAACCACCGCCTGTCTTTTAAGTAGCTATGTGCGTACACCCCGTCCGAAAGAAGGATCTAGAGAAAGAGAGAGAGAGAGAGAGAGAGGGAGAGAGAGAGAGAGAGAGAGAGAGAGAAAGAGACAGAGAGACAGAGACAGAGACAGAGAGAGATCACTGCTCAACGTGTCCACCGGAGCACGTGACCCCACCATTCCTGTGGTCTAACGGACATGCCACGCGTGTTTGTGACGCACTCCCACTCCCACCACTTGTCACCCCCCGCCCCCCGCCGCGCTCTCCTTGTGTCAGGAGGAAAACCTTGACTTGTTGCGGAGAGGGTGTGCCAATCTCGCGGTCCACATCACCAACGCTCTCAAGTACGGCGTGAAGGTAAAACAAGCAGCCGGTCACCGTCAGCGGCACTATATCGGTATTGGCACACCTGCCAGTCGATTTCGTTGTGGCACTATGCTGGTCACCGACACATCACGCGGGATATTGTGGAGATGGCCTTTGAAAAACGGATCACCTCGCCAGTCTATCGAGGAGGATTGATCTATCGAGGAGGATTGATCTATCGAGGAGGATTGATCTTTCGAGGAGGATTGATCTATCGAGGAGGATTGATCTTTCGAGGAGGATTGATCTTTCGAGGAGGATTGATCTATCGAGGAGGATTGATCTTTCGAGGAGGATTGATCTATCGAGGAGGATTGATCTATCGAGGAGGATTGATCTATCGAGGAGGATTGATCTATCGAGGAGGATTGATCTTTCGAGGAGGATTGAGCCCCCCTTTTTACACAATGGCGGCTATTCTACAGCCGTTCTTGAAGTCTCTCGGCCGTACCATTTTTTGTTTTTTGTTTTCACAGGTGGTGGTGGGCGTCAATGTCTTCTCTACAGACACTCAGGCGGAGATCGATCTCGTGAGGGAGCTCGCCCTGGAGGCCGGCGCGTTTTCCGCCGTGAAATCGTCGCACTGGTGGGTGAAAAGTGTGTATTGTGTCTGTTGTATTTTGTGTATAGGATTCAGTGGTAGGCCCTCTATGAGGTAGGTATGCGCCAGACCGATTCACCCACCCTATACGGGGCCCCCGCCTTAGTCAACGTGTAGAACAGAGAACAACTTGATAATTCCGTCTGAGCCAGCCAATTTGCCCGCCGGATATTGGGCACCCGCCTGATTTAACCCGCTCTGCATGTATAGAGTGCTTACGACGGTTGTTGCAAAAATAAATCAAATAAAAAATAAAAAATAGAGAGCCTACGACGGTTGTTGTCTTTTTGTGTTGATATTTGTGTTTCTCGTGTTGGGTGTGTGGATACATACGTTTCTTGAATCAAATCCGCGTTGTTCAAGGAACGCATGATACGTCAAACGTCGCGGCGTGTTCAGCTTCTTTAGTTTTGGCATCTCACGCGCGCGCCATGTAGCCCGATGAACCGCAGAAACACGCTAGTGTTTTGCTGGACAAGCACACACACAGCGCTTGCTAGCCCACGGGACGGGTGTTAGGGCACTCAGGCTGGGAGGGAATGTATAAGGATGAGTGGTGTCTGCGTGGAGGGTTGTTGTGTGTGTGTTTGACCTGCGCTTCCAAGTAAGAAGCAATGGATGCGCGTGTGTGCTTCGGCTTGCAGCCCAATGAAAAAGCACAAACCTCACGGGGAAGCACATGATGACATGCCGTCTAGCTGGCTCACCGCTGTCTGCGGGGGGATACCGATAGGGGGTCCCGCAGAATCAAACTGAAAGAAGACTCGAACAGTATTTGAACCTATCCTCCGCGAATTCGAGATTACGACCTACGTATGCTGTGTGTCTTCGTGTGCTGCCAGGGCGGAAGGAGGAGCTGGGGCGGTGCAACTAGCGGAGGCCGTGATGGAAGCGTGCGCGGCTACCCGAGCAGACCCGTCGACGCCGTTTCGGTTCCTGTACCCGTCGGAAACACCCATCAAGGTGGGGAGAACGGATCTACACATGATGGCGCTCCTTGTATCGCGTTGTTGTTGTTGTTAGCGTTGTTTTTGATGATGATCATGATGGTGATCACTCAAACCGCTTTTGTTTTCTGCTCGCTCTTTGGAAAGTTTCGGCCGAGCTTTGGGTACTCGCATCTAGCCCCAGGCATACAGCACATATCAGCCACACACTTGGCGTTGGCAAGAGATAACCCCGCCAGCAACAACAACAGCAATGGCAACAGAGGAGAAGAAACAGTTATCCCCTCGTGCATGGAGACCATCACGCCCAAGACACTGTGCGGGACTTGGGTCCGTCTCGTGTACAATTGTACCTGATCTGGTCATTCGGTGGTTCAAGCAGTGGTATCCCCGTTAACTTTACTTAGCACGACTGCCAGGCCGCGAGCTTCGAGGCTCGCCGGAGTTGTCGGTCTTCTTCGATATCGTCGCAGACCGCCATTTTCATTGCTTGGCGGGCGGGGGGCGGGGGCACTGGAGGAATGGAATTGAAAGCCGCTACTGCTCGGGAGTGGAGGATTCCAGAATATCTGTCGTTGATTTCTATTGACTTGCGGACCCCTCGGGGCCAGTTTATTTGAGTGTACCTTCTTAGGGCAAGTTAACCTGTGACCACGGGAATCGACCGCGTCGAGTGTTGGATCAGTACGGACATACGAAGGTACTGGGTAGAGAGAGATCGGAACGGTTTTTAATGTGAAGACAACAACAACAACAACAACAACTGCTCGACCTACTCTGAAAAGGGCAAGCGGGGCACCACAGAAGGAACAGATTCAATGACGGAACGTCTGTAGTAGGGAGAGGAGCGAATCCCTTCTGTGAGGTACATCCCTTGTTAGACCT